TGTTCTAATGCCAGAACATGTTTTGCTCCATTCAACTGTCAATCTGAAACTCATCGCTGAATGTTGAGGATATTTTCCTTTCAAAGAATGCCTTAGTTTGCTCAAGCAAGCATTCAGGATGTTTGAAAAGCTCTATTCGGGGGAAAACACCAGTTTCAACACCATCTGTGACTGGCACACCAAAATTTCTCCTCAGAATTTTTAGTTCAATAACTATCAAAAATTGCTCACCCAATCTTTAAGAAAACCTTATTTTATCGTTTTTAGCTGTGTTACAACATTGTAATCGTATCTAAGAATGCTGGGTGATATGCAAGCCATTCGACCTCAGGGAGAAATGAACCAGCGCTCTCCACTCATAGCGTGGGTTATGAAAGAATCAAAAATAAAGCTCTCGGAGTTGGTCAATCCCTGACCCTGAGGGAATCGTCATACATTCGTCTTCAATTTTTAACTTCGTTTGAGGTGATTTAATGCATATCTGGCCCTTACAATGACTCGTGATGGCCTCCCGTTGTATCGAGTCGGTGCTTCTTATCTTCTTAGACAAGTCTAAAACCAATCTGATAGCAGTTTTGCGACCCCGGACGGATGGATGGCTTGGTGATCCATGAGCACATGGTCGAACCAACGATCTTATGTGCGATACAGAGCACCTCTAATCACCGCTCCATATGTGTTCTCTGCGGGTTACATCCCCAGTCAAACATTGCCACCAATGCTAGTTAACACATTTGAAGAAATAGACTGCAAATTACTAAAAGAATAAACGAAATTTATTTCTCGTCAGAAAAGAATGCATTCAGCAGTAGAGAAATGGCTAATACTCTTATATAAAAAATCTTCACCTTATGTCGCAAGTCAAAGTCATTCAATATTAGCTTTACAATGTGCAATGAAGCTCTTTTGCTATTTTCTTCAATGAGATTTGACAAGAGACAAAGGAAAAGAAGAGCTGCACTGCACACTATAGTTTCGAGTTTATTCCGAAGCAAAATTGAGCAATTTTTCTAAGTCACTTGAATCGCAAACTGGCTGTCCACCGATTAACGAAGACAAAAAAATCGGCTCGACTAGCATTCATCAACATTCATGAAGATGACGAAGTGCACAATTTACGGCAAATCTGAAGATGTTCAGCGATGATCGAAGAGAGAGAAGGGAATTTGAATGGTGTAAGTGCTGTGGTTTTCACACTATGTCAGCTAGTATTACAAATATATAATTTTTTTCGTTTTCGAATAAATGTGGTAAGTTGACCGGAATCGTTTATGCATATCAAAATGACGAAAATATTTTCAAGTTGCAAAATAAATGCCGCTTGAGAAATGTGACCACGAGCGTCAATATAGGAGTATGACTTAGAGCGAAATATTTTTGTGTCATGGGACCCAAATTGAGGCTATGCTTTTTCGGGGCCTTTTAAATCTTGTGCAAGCTTATTATTAAAAACAAAGTATGTATTTAAATTTAACGGCATGGCCTTTCATTACAACCTCTTGTGTGGATTCCAGTATGTATAACATTTTATAACATTCGATTCGCTTCTCGGATTCAACGCCCCACAGGTGTTTGAGAACTTACGTAATGTTTCGACTGCCGTTTGACGATTTGGTCTTCCTCATGAATGTCGTAGATTGCTGGTCCAGTAGATTGTCTTATTATCTCGCGGATAACCTAGTTAAGATGTTCTTACGCGACTCTAAGAGAGTGATGACGAACCAGCACCTATGCTTCTTGAAGAATGCGTCACTAACCATCGACAACGCAGAAGAAGGGCTCGTCCTAGTTTACGGAACAGGAAAATCAGTGATTGAATGGGAGTTAACACTTTAGATACGATGTCGATTCCTCGCCTAACACACGACGCTGTTAATTGTCGATGCTGTAGTTTTCTAACAAAATTAGATTCTTTCGTTCAGTGAAGAAAGTTTTTTGACTAGTGAAAGATGGAATGTCACTGAAAAAGCTTTATTTAGGCTGCACTTAGTTGGAACATTGTCATTATTCTGTAGGCAACAATAAGATAATCACTTGAAAAATTGTGTCATCTGATTCACTTGCATCGTGTAAATACTCTTTTAGATGCGTTAACACAAGCTGTTGCGAGAACTTGTTATAAAGTGTATGCTGCAGTAATTGTAAATTTTTCACAGAGTATGGTAAAGCTGCTATTTGTATATGTGCGAATAATCAAATAAGTATTATACAGCAAGAATAGGGATAATCAAATGAGCAGAAAAACGCTGAAAATGGCTAAAAAGTGGTGCAGTTTATAAGCCTTAATAAGCTAAGACGCGGTGCGGCAAACCGGTGCATAGAAAATTATGCATTTTGCACTCAACGTCTCGATAACCGTTCAGAACGTGGTTCTAGTCTAGAAGAGTAGCCAAATGTGCTCTGCTCCTCCAAGGAACAGCACGAGCATCATACTGGCTTTCTATTTTAGTGAGGAGTGTTGATAATTGCATCTCTGAAATGTAGAGTGATGTGCAAAACTTAACCGCCAAAAGTGGCTAAGTGAAATGAATCCTAATTAATCATCCAAGTGCATCTCTCTTATTTCTATTGCGCTTGGATCCTATACAAGTGCAATAGTCGGACCATTTCTCTGAGTAGTGGCTTATACAATAAGTTATAAAAAAAATTCTATCTTAAAAGTTAAAATAGTCTCTTTCCTCATTAAGACAATTAAGCCACATATCGTGCAGCATAATAACTATTCCGCGGTGGTAAAACTCGCGACACTTTGATTTGGAGAAAAATTTGAAGATTTTGCTCAATTTTGTGGATCGACTTCTCGTGGAGATCTCTCTTATGGCTTAAAATTCAATTGATCTCCTTCTTCACAGAGTGTCTTGAAGCGATGCTCATCAGTACGAAAATCGCAGATTTCATCTTTATATGTCTTGCAGAATTGTCGATGAGCCTCAGAACCATTGACTCCAATTTTGTAGTTGAAGTGAGGCAAATTTCTTCCTTGAACAGTTCTATGCTGAAGGTTGTGTAGATAAATGACATGTCCAACAAAAGTAGTTTCCTGATGAACTAAAATTTGCACAAAATACATTTGTAAAAACTATTTTCTCAAACAATACACTAGAACTTTTTTCTACAGCCTATTATATCAGAGGGCGCATGTGGTGCAATGGTTAGAGGTGCTCTGCGTCACACACGAAGTCAGTGGTTCGATCTGGTGCTCATGGCTCACCAAGCCATCCATTCCTCCACGGTCGGCAAATTGGTACCGGACTGATTTCAGGCTTATCTGGAAAGATGCTGCAGCACGACTGTGTTTAGCGGGAGGTCACCGAGAATCACTGTAAAGGCCAGATGTTCATTCAATCTCCTCAAACGAAGTTAAAAATTGAAGACGAATGCATGACACAAGTTGATCAACACCGAGAGCCCTTTTTTAAAATGAGGCTGATTGCCAAACTATTGTTCTTTGTGGTAATAGCGGAAGTCATTTAGGTATCTAAATGAACCACTTATTTCTTCAAAATAACATGCACGGTTTGAATAAAATTCTGCTGACACTCTGGAGTGCATGCTCTGTACAAATGGTAGGGAATTTTACAGAAAGTATTGGCATAAGGATAGTATCTATGCGGTATGAGTAATTTGAAAAATAGAATAAAAACGAGGAGTAGGGAAACAAAAATTCCAGCTACGTGTCTGCCAATGATTGTATTATTGCCATTTACAAGGACCTAGTTTTACATGAGCTAATACCTGAACTATCAAGAACTGACAACATGATTTTTCGAACATCATACCATTTAGAAGATTAGTAGTGTAATGTCGCTTTCCATTAAATATCATTTACTTTAGTGTACTCAATAGAAATACACTCAAAAACTTAGTCGAATTCACTTCGATCTAGACCAGTTCCATTAAAAATTGTCAGTGTTCAATTGGAATCTCTTTCCGCTTCAATTCTTTCCAACCTTTAGTAGATTAGTGTTTCAGGTTCTGTTGTAACACTGTGATCGTTTAAGTTTCACTTCCTTGATCCGGTAATTTTCGTTGAATATCTGTTTGACTATACAGCATGTCAATAATTATCCTCTTAGAGGTACAATACGCAAGACTCTTCCTCGACGATCATGAGGATCATCTTCTAGAAATGACGGATTAGCAGATATCCGTGACTAGCTGCGCGTACAGAACTGGCCTTGAAGAGCCGTTCGAGGTTGCTGCTCGCATGCCAACTGCGCTCGTTCTTTTCCAAGCCCTATAAAGCCTCAGAAATACGCGCTAGTACGTTTGGCTCTCTTCTCGAAAACCTGTTCTGATATAATCCCTCCTTTTTGAAAATTTCTTTATAAATGACGTACATGGTACTTTGTTTTTCAACAGACGACAATCCTGACGGTTACGATGATTAGGTGGCAACGAAATATATTCTTAAGCTTATTTATTGCTACATTTATTGTGTCGTTATCTTAAACAAGTTCCTGAATAGTTGGAGTAACAAGAATCTATCCAATAGTCACCTTCAATTTAATCAGAAAATACTTAGATAATGCAGTAAGCTTGTCCTAAATTTTGTGAATTCTCAAGCACTTTTCATTTCCTCCTGATATTCCTATCCACTATAGGCTCATTTGTGAATCCTGTTGCATTTTAAGATCTCTCTTATCGTTTGTCCAATCACTTGCAGGTGCTAATTTTACGTCGCTTATTATTTACTTCCTATTCGTTCTTTACTCTCCAAATGTCTGAACAACATTCTATACGTTTCACAAAAAGCAGTCTCCAGCGCTTGCATTTGAATCGTCTTATGACCAGAATTGCTCCAGGACGGCAATAAGAACCAGCGACCATTTGATAGGCCGATAACTGAGGATATAACAAGCCACTCCTAGCTGTTTATTATTTGGCACAATATCCTTGGAATTATGAAGAATGTGAAATAATTTGTAATGTCTACCATAAGAGCATACGATGATATAATTCATATAGACTTGAGAGAATTGAGTGGTGAGCAAAAGCACTGCCTCAGGAGAGAATCGAACCCGCGTTTTATTCTATCCGGCGACGCGTGCTCTACCACTACACCACCGGGGCACATTTGCACCACCACTCATTTATAATAACTAACACTCGAATTTTTTTAGTATTTTTACTACATTTTTCGGGTGGTGTAGCGGCAGTAACAGTCGTCCCAATGTGGATAAACCGCGGGTTCGATTCCCGACCAAGGCCGTGTTTTTGCTCACCACCCAGTTCTCTTAGGCATATACGAAGCACTATAACACTGCGAAAAATGCAATAAAAATGCTAAAAAATAGCGAGTATTGAAACAATTAATTCTCTTTGAAACAACTTTTGCTAAAAACAGGGTAGTAAAACTTTCTACTCTGAAGAACCTAAAATAATTTATTTCAAAGTGAATGGACTTTCCTCTCCATCTAATGAACAAGACAATTTCATTCACTCATAGTCAATTTGTGTCCTGCATGTCATCTTACACTCATGGGGAATCGGAAATGTGAAATATAGATGTGTTGAAAATTCCATTTGCATCTACGATTTATAAGTGATCATCATAGTGTGGTTTTCAACTTTGTTGACCATTTTATAACAGAAGTCCACTTCCAGAATGCTCATTTGCTGGTTTTCAGTTTAGGAGATACTTGATAAGTTTGCGTTTTCTAAGGTTTAGCCAACGTGAATCACACTTTTTTGAATAATGACCTTCCGTCTTTATATAAGACTTTCACTCCACCGTTTGTGACAAGAAGGCGACCATATGTGGTTTTTCATACCACACTGTAGTATGGGTTTTGATCTTTGGGCTTACGACTGTCAGATATGTTTAATACTTACTCGATACTTCATACTTGAACGGTCTGTCTTCACTAATTGTGCGGACCCAAGCACACATTCCATTCGTCTCTCTGCTGCGCGACAGTCGTCCATGACGGTGGTCTAATTTGAGCATGGCGGCTGCTGCGAGTGTCATACCGTGATCTGAAAAAATCGGCAACTGTAAGTATAGCTCTCTAATTCTTTCAAGAACAAGTTCGTCCAGTGTGTAGGTGGTCGTCCTCGAGGACGCGTACATTGTCGTGCAGTCCACTCCACAGTTCTCACCCGTCTGTCGTCGGTTCTCTTCAGTATATGACCGGTCCATCCGTGTTTCGCTATAGATGTACAGACCTCTGGATCACGAAAATGGGATAGACTCCGAAGATCTGAGCTACGCAAGCCGGCCAGATGTGTGTGCCAATTAAATTTGAGAAGACATCGTTCAAGCGCACTACTATATGTTTGATTTCTATATAAAAGAATATATAAATGTCAAATATCAAGGCTATGACATCTCAGAACGGGATCAACTTGCTTGTTAATCTGTGATTCGATAACTACAAATATTCCAAGACACGATAAATCGACAGACTGTTTCGAGGAGAACTTTTCTGACGTGAAGAGTAGGAATAACTGAATCTAAAGCTTCTACTAATGATCATCAATAAGTCTATCTTTTTTCTCAAGTGTTTTTGAGACTTCGCTCAAAGCAGTATAATCTGTTAACACATTTTGAGCCTTTTACTAGGTCTGTTATGGCACTTATATAGTTCACGAAAAGGATGACAATCATCTTTTACCATCTACGAGCAATCGAGTGTACTACACTGCCTATTCGGTGATTTATCACTTGACGGCGCTTGTAAAAACTTTGGTGACGGTTTCTCCTAGCAGGAATATCTCCCCACGGAACTGACTCAACCCATAGGCAGCGTGCTGCTGACGATTCTGTAATGTCGAAACACCTGTCTTGAACTGTAAAATTGTCTTAACGGACCTCATAAAGGCTCAAAATATGTCATCAAATCCTCCATAAGGTCATTAAAAAGATAATGACCGGACAACCATAATATTAGCAACGTTTCATCTCTCTCTTCCATTTAACCATTACTGAGTTATTTCTATGGCTGCGTAATGATTTTTTTCACGTAGATAGCAATCGAACGGCTCACGGAAAGAAGGCAATGCCACGTTATCAGATTAAATTGCCTAATTTTACCCGTCATTTTCCAATTTATAAACGCCTGTAATGTGCTACCACTATTTCTAATGTAAGTGATTAATCAGCGTATGACTTTACATTCATGCTTGAACGCTGTCAATACCGAAGAAATAAATGTGACTGTCAATGAGCGGATGAGTTTTGCCTATGAGATTGATCTTTCAGAGATGATCGTGGTGCCGATGTTGTTCGCTCTGCTCATTCAGATGTGTGCTGGTGGTGGTGGTGGTGGTGGTGGGGATGGTGGTTATGAAGTGCCTTTTGCGCAACCAGGTCAACAGCCTTACCCTCAACTTTTGCCTCAACCGCTACCTCAACCGCAGCCATCAGGTTACCATCACAGGAGTGCGTTTATTTTATTGCAACAGATTTAACATTAATCTAAAAAATCTTTAACATCCATTTGAGGCTCCAGCTTTTGACATCACTCAGCACTTGAATAAATTCCTAAAGACGGAAAAACTCGAGATTTTTTCGGTATGAACGTATTCTAAACGTCATTCACTTTTTAAATTCAAAATGTGGCAATTTACGATATAAAAAAAAAATGTGAGTTTGTACAATAAGGACGCTCAAATGTCGAGCCGCCTCCTTTAACCTAATCCTTTATGAGATGAAAAGTCTAAAAATGTGTACTTACTTCACTACCCTAGATTGAAAAAACTTTTTCAAGTAGAGCAAGCTTAATGAACTTATTATCAGTTAAAAAGAAAATACTTAGTGCTTAGCTTCTTCAGGAAGTTGTGCTTTTGAACAGATTAGCTTGATACGAAGCAATGAGGTTATGCCTCAAACATTTCAACCCTTTTTCTACCAGTTTTCTTGGCGAATCACGTCTATTTCATATTGTTCTCTTCAGTAAATCCTTACACCCAACCTCCGATAGAGATCATACCGAGTGCGCCGGAAGAATATGCAACGGTTCCGCTTCCAACTAAATCGACGGTATTTTTGCTGAAAGAGACTATGTGCTCTCAAAGAGTTTTGATTAATTTAGGAGTATGAGGAATACGAGAAGAAGCCTATCGATTTGAAACCGAGTCCTTTAGAAGGAGCAGCAGCAGCATATGAGGTCTATGAAGTCATCGCTATTTTTTTATTGCTGTTGTTCTTATTTTTTGATTTCAACCTCGCTAACTGGACCAAGGTTCAAATTATTTTCTATCAAAAAACTTGTTTATTTTGATCTTGTCCACTCGTTCCGATGCTGTTTAAAGGAAAAGTGATTACTTCCATATTTCTGTCTCATCTTTTCACAATTTATTTAGGAAAATTGGTGATGACATTTCAATATCAGCGTTTTTTTGCTTTCTCTAAAGATTTACACATTGTCTGATGCCTGACTGGTTTTTCAGCAAGTATGAAATATTCTGCTGCTGTATACGATACTTTATAGACTCCTTTCAAACCATCGTCGACGTACATTCGTGAAGTGGCATACCATCCATATCCACTGCCTCTGTCGCCGTACAGACCACCTCCAGTTCATCCACCACCTGGTGATTATGCTGGTATACTTTTTGTACTGCTATCATTACGAACTACCCTTTTTTCAAATAAAACTTGAATGGTTGATATTCCGCTCTTCAGATTCGGTGATATATACCTATCTCAGAACGTGGACACTCTATATATCAAATTATTTGAATATTATTTCATATATTTAGTAAAAGTCTAATCTAAAATTAATTCAAAAGTCTTGTTATCATGATAAACCCTCACCCCTGGAACACTTATAAGATAGGTCACCAGCGTATTGTGACATACGGTTAAAAAATATCGGATTAGTACAATACACACTATGCCACTGAATTACTACCATTACATTGTCACTCTTGATTATACTTCATGATAAGATACAAATCATTTTTGAGCGATGCCGAGAAAAATGAGAATTCTCTTCTGAACAAACGAAATGCATTACATACTGGGAAGAAAAAAGCTGAAGTGATTGGAAAAAAACTCCTTATTTCGACAAATTTGCAATTCATTTGTCAACTACAACACTTACAAAAAAGGAATATAGAAGAAGAACGTGTAATACTTTTTTTTACAAAATTCGATTGTGGCACCTGGTCACCGCCACTAATTTGTCGAACTGCCGGGAACCTCATCAACTCAGTAGAAGAAAAACTTTCATGGGATGGAAGGCGTAAGTTGTCGCGTAAATCCTAGAGCTCCTTCCAAAGTCGTTGGCTTCCCGTAGTGGATATATTCCTCTTTCAACCATTTCCCTAAGAAAATGGGCTTCTTTCTGATTAGGAGAGAGCAAATGAAAAACAGATCCATTCGCTGGAGAGAAACTTTCCATAGGAGTGTTAGTAGCCATTAGAAAGATGAGACTTGAGGCTACAGCCCCACGTCGCCGGCTTTTTGAATCAGCCCTTTATAACGCCATAACATTCAAAATAAAATTATGTTTCATAAAATCACGTGCTTTTTCTCTTATCTCGCTTATACTTCGTTCCACGAAACTTCTTGCCTAAAGTGCTAGTGCTCGAACTATAGCACAAACTTCGAAGAACTCGAAAACTTACTTGCTTTTTGAAAAGCTTTCTTAAACTTTTGATCTCCTCAGGTCCTTGATTTGCGCTTTAAACCTAGCTGGAAAGAGCTCTTTCTCTAGACTATTAGTAACCATCCGATACCGTAATGTTTCCTGATTCTAGCAATGTGCTTATTTTCTGGGAATAAGGTTTAACAGAGAAAATAAGGTCGAGTTTCACTCGACAAGGTGAAGGACCGAAGAAGGGGGACGATCGATTTAATGTTATTCAATTGAAAAATTTTTACTCCGCTTTAACGGAAACTCCAGGCAAAACGGCTGACTGAGATACTAAGGAAATTCTCTTACACATTGATGAGCTTTTCGGCTTCCAGCGAATCACACGCTTGATAAAAACCAAGGCGAAAGTAGAGTGTAAAATATAATTTTTAATATCGATGTCACCGCGTTATAAAGAGGTGTTTCCGAAATCCGGCGACGCGGAGTTGTAGCTTCAAGTCCCAGCTTTCGAGTGGTTACTAACAATCC